CACACACACACACACACACACACACACACACACACACACACACACACGCACACGCACACGCACACGCACACACACGCACACGCACACGCACACGCACACGCACACGCACACGCACACGCACACGCACACGCACACCCACACGCACACGCACACGCACACGCACACGCACACGCACACGCACACGCACACGCACACGCACACACACACATGAAGCCCGTACCGCCCCCAACCCGACATTCGGTCGAAATTCGGGCCTTCGGGTTGCGTTGGGGTGGTCTGGTATGCAGTCACAGTGGCGAGGAGGTGGCCCAGCGGTTGGTCGCCGTGGCTCCCGCTCTCGCCTGGCTGCTGCGGGGGCAGCACCCCGTGCCAGCGGCCAAGGTGCGCAGGGACGTCCTCCACGCCGAGGCCTCTCTTGGGCTGGATGTGGCGCGCGCCGGTCCGCGCCAGCTGCGCGCGGCGAGGCGCGGCCCGCGCCTCGGGCCCCTGGCAGGCCGCCCAGGAGTTGCGCCGGGAGCGAGCTGCGGTTGATGGGCAAGTTTTTCCACCACCGCCACCACCATAAGCAGGAGGGGGAGGGGGTCCTCCTCCTCCTCCTCTTCCTCCTGCTGCTCCGCCTCCTCCTCCTCCTCCTCCTCCTCCTCCTCCTCTTCGTCCTTCTTCCACCCTCCAACTTATGGTGGTGGTGGTGGAAAACAAGGCCATCACTGTTCGCATAGCCAGTTCAGGCGGATTTCGAGACCTGTTTCGCCGAGCCTTCGCGCTTGCTGCCCGTTCTCGAAACGCTGGTCGTTGGCCCGACGGAGTGGAACGCGAAGGCCCCCTGTTTCTTGCGAGGCGCGGGCCGGCATTTCCTCGCCCTCTGGTCGTGCGACGTCGACACGTTGACGACCGAGTTGCAGCAGCCCGTCCAGTCTGAGTCGGAGCTTGTCGACGGCAGTTTCGTCGGGGACAGGTGGCTTGGTGTAGCTGTATCCGAGGCGGCCGTTGAGGCGTCGATCGCTGTGGAAGCCGTACTCGCGTCGCACCTGGTTGGCCCGTGGCGGGGCCCAGCAACGGCTTTGACGCCGTTGTCGTCGCCGCGAACGTGGTAGACGATTTCAAGAAGCCGGAGCTCGTTGAGGGCGTCTCTCCGGCACTGGCTACCCTTGATCTTCCTCTCGGTTGTTCTGCCGGGTCAGGTGAAGTTCTTGTTGGTTCGTGCTCAAGTCGTTCGTCCTCTGGGCCAGCGTGCCGCTCGGGTTGAAATCGGGAGTGGGGGCGTGGATTTCGGCTTCGGCCGCATTTTCGTCCTCCACCCTCGACGGTGGAGACGACGATCCGCGAGGCGGGTCTCGCGCGGCAGCAGCCTGAAGTGTCGCCGTGGCTGCCCGAGGTCAGCGGGTCGGATCCTGGATGCGCCCCTTGCGATGTCACCCTCGCTCGTCGGCGCCGCGGGCGAGGAGGGTGCGTACGATGGCGCTGTGGGGATCCCATTGTGCGCGGCGCTATCGTGAACGGTTGGCCACGCTGCCGTGCGATATGGTACGTTTCCTGTCTGGGCTGCCGGTTCGGCGAGCAGAGGGGGCAGCCGCGAAGACCCCGACAGTTGCCCGAGCTGAATTCGCGCGCCGTGTTCGTGAAGTCGTTCGTCCTCGCAGCGGTGGAAGTTCAGAACCCCGCGTTCGTGGCCGTGGTCGGCGTCGCGGCAGGTGCACGCGGGCCCGTGCTGGTCTTGCCACCCAGCACGGTGTAATGTGGTAGTCTCCGTCGATGTAAAACAAGATTCGCCCCGTTTTCTCCTCGACCCCCCCCTGGTTTCTCGCCCTGACGGTGGCTTTCCCCCGTCAGGTCCCGGAGGCGCTGAAGGCCGCGGAGGAGGGCGTCGCCCGGGCGAGGTCAGCGGGAGACCGAAGACGACGGAGGCGACGACGACGAGGAGATGGCGGCAGCGGCGGCGAGCACGGCGACGGCGGCGACAGCGACCGACCGAGACATTCGACTTGAGTTATGTTCACAACGTGGTCTGCAGAGGCTTGGTCCCCGCTCTGGAGACTGCCTTTTTTTCGGCGAAAAGCGCAGGGTGGAGGCGAGATGGAGCGGGCCGTCTCGGAAGGTTCGGACGTCGCCCAGCCTTGTGAGAAAGTTTCTAAGCTTCCACCGAAGACCGAACACATTTTAATGGCCAGGGTCCTTCTGAGAAGCCTCGCCGCCTTCTCCTCATCACTTCACTTCGCTTGCCGCTGATCATCATCCCGAATCGCTTTTCGATGGCTCCAGGGCCTGGGTAAGCAGCAGCGTCGCGATGTCTTCGCATCGGCCGACGAACGACGGTGGCGGCGATCCGCGGCAGGAGCGACCGACCACCGATGCCCGACGGCGGAGGCAACTGGCAAACCGGCGACGCCGACGACGAAGACGAAGGTGCTCTGACGATGTGAATTGTTCCGTTGGGCGGCCCCCAGGGCTTTCGTCCCAGATCCATGTTTGACCCGCCGAGAAAAGGTTCCAGAGTGTGTAATCCGGAGAAAACGCGTGAAGTGGACAGAAACACGTCGTTGGACATCTGGATTGGACCTGCAACGAAGAGTGCGATTGCGGCGGCGGCGATTGGCGAACGACGAGAAACATATTTTCTGTAGACCTTTGGCAAGTCTCTTTGTGTGGAGGTGGGGGGCCATACCGAGGTGCGAAAAGAAATGTGGACTTCACGCAAGTCGGGACTCACTTCGCGCCCCTTCGGCCCAGCGGTGCTTGACACGGTGGCGGAGTGTGTTGGGTGGGGAAGGGGGCGGCGGCGTGCCATGCAAGCAGATTTGCCGGATTCTAATCCTGAAGCACGCCCCTTGGGGGCCCCCAAACGGGGCGGTGACCACACCGTGCGGTTAGTCGGTGGGGGTTCGGGGTCACCGCGCGGTTTTGGGATTCTGGTCGTTCTCCGAGGATTCCTTGGGCGACTGGGGCGCCCGAGGTCCCAAAACCGCACGCTGACGGGCCGAGCGGTGAGGTATTGGGGGGTTTCGAGACTACCGCACGGTCTGTCACCGCACCGCTTCGGGACCCCAGAGCTCCGTCGGAGAGGTGCGGGCCCGCGCAGCAGACTGGGATGGCGCGGCGGCGACCGGCGACCGGCGACCGGCGGCGACCCGCGGCGGAGGCTCTGGACGCCCGAAATGGATACGGAAGGAATGGGTACAATGTCCAACAGCAGTTCCTGAACAGGATTCGCTGTCTACGCCGCCGCGGCCTGTGTCCATTCGAGAGAAGGCCGCCTGCCCAACAGCGGCCGCTGTTGAGTTGGGACAACATTTGTTGTTGGGCATTGTGCCCATCCTTTCCGTACCCATTTCGGGCGTCCAAAACGGCAGCCAGCGAGCGGCGACTGGCGCCAAGCGACGGCCGGCGACGGATGGCCCATGGCGGCGGCCGCCGGGCGACGGCGGGCGGCCGACGGGCGGCCGCCCGCCCGCGCAGTGCCCCGCGGGGGGCACGCGCAGGTCGGGGCACGACCGCGCCGCGGAGGCCTCGCTGCTGCTGGCGGCGGCCGGCGCGCAGCTGGCGGCGGGCGGCGGCGAGGATCGTCGATGCGCGCCGCTTCGGCCACGCGCAGGGGTCGTCGCGGGGGAAGCGTTGAGTCGTGCATGTCGCTGTGCAGGCGGAAACGTCAAACATAGTCAAATATAGTCGGGGGATTATGTTGTTCGACAGTTTCTGATAATGCTTGACCGTGTTTTCTTCTTCTTCTTCCAGAACCCCCCTGTAGGAGGACATGCCCGACCTATAAAGGAAGCGGGTCCTGAGGGAAACATGTCAGAGCCACGAATCATCAGGGGTGTTTCGGGTCAGGGCTAATTCGGGTTCTTTTTTGGGGGAGAATCCAATCCCGAGTTCCCCCGGGCCCGAGTTACCCCGGACAACTCGGGTGCCCAAGCATGTCCTGAGCTTTGGGGCCGGTTTCGGGATCTCGGTGCCCTCCACGGGCCACGGCACCATCACGAGACGACGCAGGATGACAGAGTGGTCCCGACAGACGGCCCGAGGGTCCAGGACACGTTTCCTTCAGCACCTGCTTCCCCCGTTTGGAGGGTTTCTCCGAAAAGCTTAGGCGACCCGTCCTCCTCCTCCTCCTCCTCCTCCTCCTCCTTCTCCTCCCCTTCCTCCTCCTCCTCCTCCTCCTCCTCCTCCTCCTCCTCCTCCTCCTCTCCTCCTCCTCCTCCTCCCATCTCCTCCACCTTCACCTCCACCTCCACCTCCCTCTCCTCCTCCTCCTCCTCTTCTTCCTCCTCCTCCTCCTCCTCCTCCTCCTCCTCCTCCTCCTCTGGTCGCCTGCGGCCCCGGGGGAAACTGTGCACCCCCGTCCTGAAGAAGCTTGTCGCCTCGTATACCCTCGCAATCCCAGCTTTACTGTGCGTCAGGCGTCAGCGTGGGCCAGCGTTTAGCAATCGATGAGAAACCGCCAAGTTAGTGTCGACGAGAGTCGATGTAGCGTCGATCATGGAGGGGGCGCGTCGAGCAGCGTCGGTTAGCGTCGAGTCACTAAACCAACAACGTGGCATGGGAGTCGGCCGCGCGCACAGGGGGGTAATTAGGGGGAGGGGGAAGGTTTTTGTTTCTTAGAAGGCGACGTCTTGTCCATAGATGTAGGGCCCGCGCCTTCTAAGAAGCAGACCTCCTGAGAAGCCTTCCCCCCTCCCCCTCCCTCCCTGTGCGTGCCGTCAGGATCGTTGGAGCCCGCTGCTCCTCAAAGTCAGAGGAGGACCATCTGGGAACAAGTAAAGGAATTGCACCGGACAAAAACCCCTATCATTGGATGGTTCGAAATGGGATCGAGACGGAGATCGACCAGGAACCTGGGAACCCGGAACCCACCGAAATCGGCCCGGAAACAATAACCAGGAGTTTGTGAACCCGGAGCCAGGAACCCAGGAACCCAGCCGGCCACCAAAATCGGCGGGGATCTTTCGCCAAATCTTTTAATATCCGCTAGGTCCCCTTCAGTGCAAGCACTAATTGGGGAATCAGAATCGACTTTCGTAGATCATCGCGGATTTCTTGGATCGGCGCCCGACCCGCCTGGCGGCGCCTCCGGCGCCGCCCCTGGCGCGCGCTCCGCGAGCCAGGGCGGGGTCCAGCGCGGATCCATCAAATCCGCGCGAATTTCAGTCAGTTTATGTTTCTTCCCCAATCAGTGCTTGTGATTCCCGAAAACGTTAGGCTCAGCCCCCCTCGAGTCATGAAAAACACGATGGTTGTTTTTGTCATAGTTTTCGGCCTCTGGGGGCCCTCGCCGGGCCATGGTGCCGTCCTCCTCCTCCTCCTCCTCCTCCTGCTCGTCCTCCTCCAGAGCCTGATCTTCCTCCTCGTCTTCCTGCTCCTCCTCGTGGTCGTTATCGTAGTCGTCATCGTCGTCGTCGTCGCGGCGGAAATTATTGACCGCACTGGATCGTGAGGATCTGTGATCTCAGTGGTTGCAATCTGAATCAGTGGTTGTGGTCGTGGCTGTAGTCGTGATTGTAATCGTGATTGTTATCGCCATGGTAGTCGTAATCGTAGTCGTGGTTGTAGTCGCAATCGTAGTCGTAATCGTATTCGTCGACGTCGCGACTGAGCTTGTGTTCATCCTATTGTTGGGCGGACTGGATAATGTTAAGTGGTTCGTTAGGTATTTTTGTCTCCCGCGGGATAATCCAGTTTGGGCTACCCGAATGGCGAGAGGATTTTTGAGAATGTTGGCGTGAGGATTTCAATCGGAGTCATTGGTTGTTGTTGTAGACGTTGTTGTAGTCGCGATGCTAATTGTGATTGTAGTCGCGATTGTAGTTGTAATCGTAGTCGTAGTTGTCGTCTCAATGTTGGTCGCATTCGTAGTCTCAATCATCTTTGCGTTGTTGCGCGGCGGGTGCCGCGGACTCCTAATTGTGTGTTCGCTTTTGGTGGTGCCCCAGTCTTTTTACCAAGAGCGTCGAAATGATAATTGCTTTCCACTGTTGGGGGGGTGTAGATACCCATCTCGGCCACAATCCTCAAGATGAAAACCAGTCCAAGGGAATGGGTCGAGACCTCCTTGGGTCGACGTCATTCAACAATTATGACGTCGGGGGTCCGCGGGAGAAGCAAACGTATTGACACAGCTACGCCTGCCTCCTTTTTTGAGCCTGCCGGGGGCTCCCGAGGCCCTCGTCGCCACGGCTGGACCCGCCTCGAGATTCTGTCAGAGCGCACCCTGGGAGAGGTCCAGGAGCACTGGTCTCGGTGCTTTTGTTCTGGACTCCCCCAGACGGTGTTTGCACTTAGGGGTTCTTCTCGTGAAGGCCTTGCGGCCTGTGCCGCCGACCCTGCAGGCGGGATCTCTCCGGGGACCCCCGCTGGCGCCCCCCCCCCATGGGACCACATTTCCCCACCACAGACGGGACTTCCTTCGGACTCCCCTGCAGGACACCCCCCAACAGCTCCCCCTGTGTCCTTCTGTCCAGGACGGGACCCCCGGGAGGGGGAGAGCAGCAGTTATCTGACCCGGGACCCCCCCGTCAGGGAGGGGAAAAGGGGAGGGAATCGATTTAATTACGACGTTTCTTTTTGGTATTCATTTTTAGATATCCTTGGGACTGACGACAACGACGACGACGACGACGACGACGACGACGACGACGAAGCGATAAAGACGACGACAGCATGTCACTTGCCTCTAGCTTGCACCACGTGTACTGCACCACATAGCTCACACCACATTCGGGCAGGGCTAGGACGAGGGTAAATCCGTTCCAGAGCGTTCCGGAGCGCTCTGAGAAAGCAAAGCCGCGGCGCTTGATACATCCTCGAGAGCCGCCGGATTGTCTTAGAGATCATCGATCTATTATCACCCGGTGTTATTCTCGTCCTGGCTTCGTCTTACACCGCCACGTAACCTTCCCATCCACAGCAGAGCTTGGGGCCCACGCAGGCTAAGATTAGCTACTTTCTGGTAGGTTCACTTGCATGGCATTCCCCACCCCGTAGTGCTCCCCCTTCTGCCGCTCCCCCCTCCGCTGCCATTTCGGGCAGCGCTTGGCCGAAGAGACTTGCAAACGAGCTCCGACTTGCGTGCAGTTCAGACTTCTTTTCGGGCCTCGCCACGCCTCCCCCATGCAAGTAAGCTTGCCGGAGCTCCCTTTTCGTGGTTCTGCGTGAGTTTGGGCGTCGGTTGAGCCCATACGGATCTTGGGCTCGTAAGTCTCGAGTATGCCAGAATTCGGTTTCTGCGACGCTTCTTGACGGGCCCGCCCTGGATGTTGGCGGTCCAGTCTTCGTGGGATGTCTGCAGCGGGAGCTCGCGTCACAAATGTCAGGTGGGGCCTCGCCATTCTTGTCGACGGCCCCGCCAGGCCAGCGCGAGTCCCCCGAGCCCCAGTCTTACAGTCGGCCCAGATTAGTAGGTTGACCCTGCCAGATCAAGAGTACCCTTGTGTCCTATATTTCGCGACCCACGCCTCCTACATTCCTATGGCAATGTGGCCCTTGGAAGGGTCTTGTGTCCTCTCGCGCGCCCTGTCCAAGCAAGTCCAACTGTACGCCTCCCCGACTCTTCTGGGAGCCGATTCTCTCACCGCCCCTCTGCTATTTCCCCCTGCGCAGCCGCCTCGACGAGGCGGGGGGTTGCGCGAGGGTGGGGGGGGGGGAGGGCGCAGAAGGCAGGGGCGCCCTTCTCTGGCACGGACAGACATCGGTCGCGCGCAGAGGCTCGGCCTCGCTCAGGCGTGTGCACTCCTGGCGGCGGGGGCCATCGAGGAGCAGGAGGAGGAGGAGGAGGACGAGGACGAGGAGGAGGAGGAGGAGGAAGAGGAGGACGAGGAGGAGAGAGGTGGGCCAGAACCGGCGGCGCGAGACGCCAAGCATCCTGGACCGTCGTGCGGCAAGAATCAGGAGGGAAAGAAACACACAGACACAATGAATCGTCGATTCCCCTGAAAATCTGGGAAACTATGGGAAGTGTGGGGGAAGACAGACACCCAGAACATGTGGGAAATTATGGGGGATCCTGCTATTTGTGTGTATTTATCCGTGTGTCCCAGGGTCCCTTCAAAGAAGGCACGCGCGACACCGGGAAGTTCACGGGGCTGGACACCCGAGCGGTGGCGAGTTCTCGGGCACGGACAGAGAGTTCGGCCACGGAGGGTGCAGTCGGGGCGCTGAACAAGGAGCCCTTTTCGTTGGGGAGGGGCTCGGTGTCCCTTGATTGCTGTGCCGTTGGCCTTAGGTTTCCCTGAGGTGTTCCATGGGAAATCGGGGCCTCGTTCCTTGTTTAGGGTTCCTTAGGTCAGCGCCCCGACTGTAGGGGAGGGGGGGAGGCATCTTTGAAGCGCCCCTGGCTTCTAAGCCGCCTCTTCCTGCCTCCCCCTCCCCCCCCCCCGCGCGCGCCGCCAACAGAGTTAAATCGGACATGTCCCTCTACAGCAGGAGTTCAAAAGTAGTAAGACAATCGTCAGGGGACGATTCTTTGACTATGCCTCCGTATTGTTGATTATGTGTTGAGTGTTACTCATTTAACTCGCTTGTGGGAGGACATGCCCGACCTGAGAATTGAGCACCCTCCCCGCTTCACGGAGGCCTCTGCCCCTTGTCAAGAGAACCACCCTCCTGACAACACGCCTCAAGTGGGTACGGACACATTTCGGCCACGTAGGGGGGAAGGCTTCTCTGAAGCACCCCTGGCTTCTACGCAGCCCCTTCCTGCCTCCCCCCCCCCCCGCGCGCGCCGCCCATAGAGTGAAGTGGGGCATTTTATTCAACAGGAGGAGTACTCATACACTGACAACAAGCAATCCGGGGACGTTCTTTTTGTGTTTTGAGATCTTGTTTGAGTGTTTTTGTTTAACAGGAGCGTCCCAAATCCGCCTGCAAGTAAGAATAGAGGGCCCTCCCTGCTTCCACAACGGCCTCTGCCCCATCTCAAAAGGACCACCCTCCTGTCGGCACGCCTTAAGTGGGTGCTGACAAAAAGCGGTGCCATGAGCACCAACAAATGTTTTGCAGAACCGGCAGTGGCCAGTGTTGTGCAGGCGGCCTTCTGCTTCGAGCGGACGTTGTCCGCGGCGACGCCGACGGCGATTCCTGTTCAGAATTGGCAGGAATTGTGGTGAGTCCTGTGCCTGCTCTTTCTGCACCCATTTCGGCCCCCCAAGTCTCGGGCTTCCGGGTGGGCCACTCCCGTGCACGCTCCGCCATGATCGTCGGCCACGCGCAGAGGGTCGTAAGGGGGTGGGGGGGAAGTTTCTTACAAGCACCCCGGCTTCTCAGAAGGCGCGGGCATTGTCTGCAGATGCAAGGTCGGCGCCTGTAAGAAACGGCCGCCTTCCAAGAAGCCCTCCCCCCTCCCCCCATACATACCACCCTCTGCGAGCCGCCAATTCTGAGAAGATCACCCCCGTGTGCGCGCCGCCATGATCGGCATCCAAGTGTCTGGCGTGGGCCCCCAGAGGCCGAATCCGGCGCAAATCATACGTGCTGTTCTTTGCAGTGTCCTTGTGCTTCCGAATGGCTTGACGATTTGTCGCGTATCTTTTTCGGGGGATGTACCCGGATCGGTCCAGGCAAATGCAGGTAGCATGATTCGGCGGCGAGCGAGGGGGGAAGTGAGAATGAGAAGGCCTTCTCAGAAGGCGGCGGGGCTTCCAGTGGACTTTCCAGCTTTCTGAGAAGGCCTGCGACTTCTCTTTCCCCCCCCAGGCTCGCCGCCAAACGATGGTTCCCACAGGGGCCCTAAGGGCCCCTTGAGGGCCATTTCTGTATCCTCCATTTGGGTCACCACCCCCACCCGCACGGTGTTGGCGTTCGTTAAGGAATGTGCCCAGGAGGCTGCAGACCTTGAAGGATCCCTTGTCTGATGAGGGCGGCAGTGATACCCATGGCCGATCCACGATGGGAGTTCCACCGGCTTTCAGACCCTGGGTTCCTTCTGGGCGTCGCGCGATGGTGGGGCCACTGACGGGGGGCAGCGAGGGCTGCCGAAAATGGGCTTTGTAGGGCCCCTGAAGGGGCCCTTGGAGGGCCCCAGCGGGGGCCCCGAGGATCCGAACAGTGCACCTGCCCCCCATGTATCGCCCCCCCACTGAGCGCCGCCCAATCCTTTCCAAGGGTTCCTGCTATCCACTGCTCTCACACGATGTCTGAGGGGGAAGAAGCCGGATCCATCCATCCAGGCAGATACTGGCAGCACGATGATCGCAAGTAAAACAGGGCTAGGATCGGGATAAATCGCTCCAGAGCGTTCCGGAGCGCTCTCAGAGCGTTCCGGAACGCTCTGGAGCGGCCGCGGCGCCCAATACATCCTCCAAACCCGCCGATTCTCAGAGATTTCGAGTTATCTCGATCCGATTTTGTCCCGATCTTCGCGTCGTTTTCGCAAGGCCGCGCGCCAGCGGCCCCCCGCCCCCCCCCCCGCTTGGCTGCCTCGGGGGGGGGCACTCTTCTACGCGCCGCCGCCGAGGAGGGGGCGCGCCTGGCCGGCGAGGCCCTCGCGCTCTCCAAGGATCGGCTGAGCGTTTGGACGCCGTCTGTGCTCACAGTGGAAGCCCATGCCACGAAGCACCCTGCTTGCCTCCACGGTTTCGATGGTTTTGCTTTGGAAGGCGTGACGTCAGAGCCCCGAATCATCAGGGGTAACTCGGGTCAGGGCTAACTCGGGTTCCTTTTTCGGGAATCCGAACCCGAGTTACCCCGGACCCGAGTTACCCCGGATAATTCGGGCGTCCAGAGCCCCACATCATCAGGGGTAATTCGGGTCTGGGCTAACTCGGGTTCCTTTTTCGGGAATCCGAACCCGAGTTACCCCGGACCCGAGTTACCCCGGATAATTCGGGCGTCCAGAGCCCCACATCATCAGGGGTAATTCGGGTCTGGGCTAACTCGGGTTCCTTTTTCGGGAATCCGAACCCGAGTTACCCCGGACCCGAGTTACCCCGGATAATTCGGGCGTCCAGAGCCCCACATCATCAGGGGTAATTCGGGTCAGGGCTAACTCGGGTTCCTTTTTTCGTGAATCCAAACCCGAGTTACCCCGGACCCGAGTTAACCCGGATAACTCGGGCGCCCAAGTCTGGACTCACAGTGGAAGCCCATGCCACGAAGCACCCTGCTTGCGTCCAGGGAGCCTTGGGTATCGATGGTTTCGATGGTTTTGCTTTTGGAAGGCGTGACCTTCCCACACCAAAAATCAACGGACGTCCTGGGGTTCCAGGGTTGGGTTTTTTGTGGAAGGTGTCTTGTGGTCAAGATCCTACTGCAACCTCTCCCTGAGCGCCGTCCTGACTTCGCCCCCCCCCCGCTGCCAGTTCGAGCAGCGTTGGGCCGAAGAGGCCGGATTCGCCACGAAGTTTTAGTGAGGACGCACTTTGGGAGAGGTCCAGGAGTAGCGGTACGGTATCGGCACTTTTCTTCCTCGGCTTCCCCGAATCAGTGCTTGTAATTAGGGGTTCGTATTTGTCCGAATTGTCTTTCTGAGGAATTTCGGAACGTTGCCGCCCGTGGCCACCTCGTGGCCGCCTCGTGCGCTGGATTGGTCTGGCGAGGTGCGAGGTTTCGTCGCAACGTTGCCGCACGCGGCCACCTCGTGGCCGCCTCTAGTTCGCACCACCTGCACCACATGGTTTATACCACATAGTTTTCGCCGCATAGCTTGCACACCTACAGCATAGCTTGGGGCCCATGCTGGCCAAAATGATATACATTCTGGCAAGGCTAACAAGTTGCATGCTATTTCCCACCACACCGTGCCTCCACTTTTGCACCTCCTCTCCGCTGCCATTTCGAGCAGCGCTGGGCCGAAAAGGCTTGCAAGCGAGTTCCGACTTGCATGGTCCAGATTTCATTTCGACATCGCTTGACCCCCCCCTCCATGCACATAAACTTGCCAGAACTCCTTTCCTCGTTTTCACCCTTTTGGACCTTGCCACGGCTGGATTCGCCCTGAAGTTCTGGTCAGAAGGTACCTGGGGGAAGGTCTTGGGATTAATGGGCGAGCTCAAGAGATGGCGGTCAATGCAAACGGGGGTCAGTCAAAGCGCCAGATCTTGCAGGATGAGGAGGAGGATGGCGAGCAGGAAGGCCACAAGCTTCTTCCATGTCTCTCGGAGTCATTTCGGGTCTCTTATTCGAGTTTCTTGGGTTCCTCTCTGGTTGTCTTGGGGGTCTCTTGGCAGTCCCACGTGCCCCCAGGGGCGTCTTGGGTGCCTCTGGGAAGCCTCTGGGGGGCTCTTGGGGCTCTCTTGGGGGCCTCTGGGGGGCAGCTCTGGGGCCTCTTGGGGGCTTCTGGGGGCCCGCTGGGCACCTCTCGTGGCCGTCTTGGGGCACCCTTGGGAGCCTCGGGGGCCCTCTCGGGGCCATCTTGGAGGAGATCGATCAAAGAAGGGGCCGAAGTACATTAGGGTGCCCCCCCCGGAGGCCAACATATGGCCAAAACCTTATACAATCGATGATTTGGGTCTTCTCGCCGTGGCCTCTTGGGACGTCTGGGGTGCCTTTGTGGAGCCTCTGGTACGTAGGGTATGGGCTCTCTTGGAAGTCTCTTTGAGGCATCTTGGGGACCTCTTTGGGACATCTTGGGGCCTCTTGGAGCCATCTTGGGTCCATCTCGGAAGAGATCGATCAACAGAGGGGCCGCAGTACATTAGGGTTCCCCCCCAGGAGGCCCGCACGTGGCCAACATCATTGTAGCACAAGTGATGTAGGCGTTCTCGCCGAAGCCTCTTGGGACATTTTGGGTACCTCTGAGAGGCCTCATAAGGCGTCTTGTGATCTTGTTTGGGCCTGTTGGGGCCTCTTGGGGCCTCCTGAGCACCTCTTTGGATCGTCTTGGGGTACCCTTGGGAGCCTCGGGGAGCCATCGTTGGACCATCTTGGAGGAGATCGACCAAAGGTTGGAGCTCCTTAATTTGGGTCCCCCCGCTGGAGGCCAACATGTGGCCAACACTTTCGGGTCAAATCCATGATTTCGGTTACCTCGCCGAGGCCGTCTTGGACGCTCCAACGGCCCCCGACCCCTCCCCTCCAGACCCAGGGTGAGGGGGTAGGGGGAGGGGTCAAGACACCCTCCCCGCCCGCAATCTGGCTCGCTCACTTCCAACTGCCCAGGCCTCAGCATGCTCAGCGGTCGTCTATGGATGGGCAGCTAATGGGAAACACGATTGGTCCCGTGTGCGCAACGCTGGGGCGAGGTGCGCGCCACGCGCGTCAGGTGCGCCAAATTGTTTTGGCTCTTTGTGCATTGTTTTGCAGTTGTCTGCTCCGTGTTGTTTGGAAAAACAATGGTACTTGGATCACCGCGCGTGTTGGTAAGGACGTAAGGGGGTGCTCAGGTTAGTTTTACATTGCCTACTCTAGCTCAGAACTTGGCCGCAAGTGCCATAAGCGGCTTGAGGAGTCTGACCCCCCGCTGATCCGAGTATGCTTATATACGATCTGCTCATTGCAAGCCATGCTGTTTATACATTACCCTGAGATGCAAAGTAGCCAATGCAATCGCATGCCGGGCCAAACTACTCGCTGTTGGGTTGGTGATTGTCAGGTATAGCATCGAAGTGCCACCACACCATCGAATGATAGTCGGTGTTGCGAATCAACTGCCCGTCCTGTGGGTTGCTACGCCGTTCTGGGAATAAACCATTCGCACATGTTATAGCATGTGTGTTAGGAATTGTAATACACTTGTACGCTAAGCCGTGCCAAACCGTGCATGTATGCGTTCTTATGTAATGTCACCCTATGTGCCCGTGTATGTAACGACATGTGCTTGCATGCGTTACATGTGTAAGTTGGCACGGCTGTGAGTACACTTCTATGCAGTGTTATGCAATGCGACGGTATGCGCTGCTATGTTGCGAGATGTTTGGTTTACGGTGCTTTGCTGGACAGAGCTACTCCCAGTTGCTATGCACTGCTATTTCACGACACGCACAATCTATGCATCGAGGGGAATTAGTACCTCTATAGTTGGTGCCGCGCTTGCTATTCTTGCTCTGCATATGCTTCACCGCTTCATTGGCGAATGCAGCTAACGGTACTGGACAGGCCCATCTTTTGGCCAAGGCGCGGTGCAGGAGTACGTGTCGGCACGCAGAAAAGGGCCGCGAAGAGAACTTGAACGGATCGGGTGACAATCCGTATGTTTGCAGCATGCGTTGAGCCTGCTCACTCCGATCCCGGGCTCCGAAATCAATGTGTATGCTTCCCTTGACGGGTCAAGCGGGCGTGTGCGTTGATCATGGGCTCAGGATGAGGCTAGCCAGGATCGGTGCACTTGGACCCGCGACTGTGGTATCAAGGAGGTTGGGGGTGCTAACGTTGGCTGTGTAGGGCCAAACCTAGCTTACAAGTGGGTTGCACATCGAGCGGTTCAGGGGGAAGCGTTTCGGGCTATGTGGCTTGTCCACCTGGCGGAGGTATCTAACACCGCTTAAGCCACGTAGGGCATCGTTCACCCGCTTACGTTCAAGCTAGGACAGACCAGACATTCCAACCTCAACATCCACTTGGACCCCTCCTTGTTAGGATGCAACTCCGGGGAGGTTGAGTTCAGCATCGGCGTTGGTATATCCGTGCTCGAAAATATGCCGAATCCGCAATGATCCCTCTGAATTCCGACCAAGCCCACTTAATCGTGGGCTTAATCTGGCCTGACCTGGCTCAATGGCCCCCTAATCGATCTCACCAAGACTGCGTCCCTTTAGATTGCGTTTTTTATCCAGAGTCTGGCAAATTTGCGTGCATGGCATTCCCCCCCCCCCCGCCCTCCGCCACCGTTTTGAGCAGCGTCAAAGCGTGCGAGTGCGTCCCGACTCGCGCGAAGCCCAGGTCTCCTTTCGGGCCTCGCCCCCCCCGCCTCCCCCGTTCCACGCGAGTGAGCTTGCTGGAATCTAGAGAGACACTGCGTCGCAGCAGCCCCCCGCGATGATCCAGGCCGGGCGCGCCCAGCGTCGTCCGTGTCTGTGTGGCCGACGCTCCCCCCGTGCCCCACCCCCCACAGGAGGCGGACGACGCGCCTGGCCAGGTGGCCGCGCTGATACTGCTGGCCAACCTCCGCCTGTCCGACGGCGCCGCGGCGGCGGCGGTCGAGGCGGCGACGGAGGCGCGCCGCACCGAATGAAGTCTGGAGAGTAACGGGCACCGCTGCTGCTGCTCCTGACTTGTCGATAGAAAAAGGGAGTCTGATTTGCGGGCGAGGGGGTCTGCTTGGAGGCTTCCAGCGGGGTCTGGGTAAAAGGCCGTTTTGTCATGGCTGGTCTTGGGGGGGTGTCTAAAACGGCTCGTCAGGGAGGGTTGTGACCCCCGCCTTGTTTTTACGAAACCTGGAGTGCCAGCCCTTCGTCGCTACGGCTGGATTCGCTAGAGAATGCCGGTCAGAACGCACACCTGCAAAAGGTCCAAGGAGGAGCGTGGTGGGTACCTTTCGCTTGGCATCGCTCGGACGTGTTATTCTTTGGGGCAGGGATCATCGATGAGTATGTTGGGTCAACTTGGGAAAAATACACGCACGAAGCCGACAAATGCACAGGGAACGGACCTCCGAGCGATGGCAAGCTCGGTCCCCCTCCAAGACGTGGTGCCCAGATTTCCGACGATCTCATTTTGTCAGTCCGGCTGGTTTTCCTCGATTAGGGCCTCGGGGCCCGTTCTCGGGACCCAGTGCCGTCAGGATGGGTCTGGGGCAGAGCATTACCCCTGGGGAATCTGTCGGGATCTGTGGGGTCGCGGATCCAGGAAACATAGATCGGGAGATGTCAGGGTTTCCACAAGGCAGGGCCTCCTTAGGAGCACCCCCTTGGCTTCCAAGAATCGAGGGAAGAAACACATGCGGACCATGACCAACAGGTCGCGGGACTTTGTCAATACCGATCTTGGCTATTGTCCATGTCAGCCGTCGCCGACTCGCGAGGATGATCCACGAATTGCGCTAACCAAGATCGACGATGACCAAGATCGACACGTCGTTTCCGCTGTCAGTCTTGGTCATGGTCTCCCTTCTCTTCCCCTCCAAGGAGGGCTTCTGAGGAGCCGACCGCTGTTTTTCAGACAGCCCCTGCCGTATTAGAGAAGATCCCCCCCGGGTTTTGAGAAGGCCGCCCCATCTGCGCCTTGCCCCCATGTGCGCTCCGCTGAGACTGGCTGCGCGTGAGTGCAAACGCGCCCTCCTGGAGTCGCGTTCCTGTCCCACCGGGCGCCTCCTCGGCCACGCGCAGAAGGGGGGCAGTGGGAAGGGGGACGACTTCTTGGAAGCACCCCTGCTTCTCAGAGGGCGCTGGCCCGTTCTATAGATGTAGGGCCCGCGCCGTCTAAGAAGCGCCTCCTTGCCGCCAGATCCTGGCGTCGCAAGTTGTCACATTGTGCGCCTTCGCCCAGTCGTTGGGCAACGGGGGCCCCCGCGAGTCAATCTGGCTCGGGGAGTGCCGCGGGCAGGAGGATGGGGCCCAGGGCTTCCATTGTGCTTTCTACGACGCCACAGTTTCATGGCGCCAACATCGCAGAGCGGAGTTCGTTCGGGAAACGATCGGATGGGCCCGGAGTATCCTGGAGAGTTTTGTTCCGGATTTCGTGGTGAATCTCGTGCGGATTTTTTTGGGGCCAGGAATGGCAACCGATAAGAACCCACGAGAATTTTATTGCGTTTTCCGCTCGCCGCTTCGGGCAAACATCCACGCAGAAAACCGCTGCAGCACGTCTGCAAGGCCGGTGCAATGAGCAGTTGTATTCGCGGTTTTGGATCGCAGGGTGTGTGCCCTGATCTCCAACGCTTTCAATGCCCCGAGCTGGTTGTAGGGGATGTCTAAAGTCACCACCAACCAAACCACCCCAACCCAACCCGAAGGTCTCAATTTGCCCTCCATTTCCAGTGGGGGGGGGTCGGAGAACATTGAGAAAGCACATATGGAAGCAGTACCCCCCCGAACCCGAAATGCGGGTCTTCGGGTTGGGTTGGGGTGGTCTGGTAGGTAGTCATAAAGCGAGAAGGGGGGGACCACACCATCAGGAAGCGACCCTCCCCGGCGCCTCGCGCTGGAGGCGTGGTCAGGCAGAATCGTGATTGCGAAGACCAGGGTACAGTCAACCATGATGGTAAGGATGGGGCAACGTTCCAAGGCTACCCTTGTATCCTTGCCCCTTCCGTATTCGGCATCCTTCGGCATTCTGCTGCGTTCCGCACGAAAAACGTCGACATGGCGTTCTCACTCCCATAGCATCCTCACCGCGCATCCTTACTATCCTGGTCGAGGGTATACGGGATCCCCAGAAGTGTCGCGTCCGTGGGCTTGGGTCGTTGTGGTCTTCAGCATGGCGATTTCTCTGAGGAGCCCGGTCCCGCTTTTTCCGAGTGGACAATGACTCAGGAGGGGGGTTCTGCTTTGATGCTGAGGTGGGTACTGTCTGACCAGGCCTGGTTTGCAAGCGGGTGACAAGTGCCCCAAGTTGCTGAGGTGTACCAGACAGCTCCGCTGATTGGGAGGAGCCCGCTTACTGTGGATCTTTACCCCCGCAAGGCCCGCTCCATCCGGCT